TTCCAACGAAAAATATTTAATAAGAAAGAATGTAAGACTATGCAATGTTCACAATTGCTGGAGGTCTTAAGTTTTTTTTTTTTATTCGCTCATGGGACATGGACAATACTGGCTGGCCAGAATTTATTACCCATCTCTAGTTTCAGTTTGGAGACACAGCTGTCCCTGATAAAGCCATGCTGCCTGTCAGTAAGAATTTAATATTTTCACAAAAGTGAGTAAATCCTATCCCTAAGATTTTTTCCAATAATTGCCCTATTGCTGATGTAAGGCTCACTGGTCTGTAATTTTTTTGAATTATCCCTGTTGCCCTTCTTAAACAAAGGAACAATGTTGGCTATTCTCCAAACCTCTGGGACCTCAATTTTGACTAAAGAGGATACAAAAATTTCATACAAAACAGCAGCAATTTCCTTACCTGACACTGTCAGCATTTTGTGTCAGATCCTGTCAGGCCCTGGGACTTGGTGACCTTAATGTTTTCTAAAAACCCAAAACATTTTTTTTTTAATAATGACATGCCCCAAAATATCACATACCCCTATCAGAACTCACCATCCACCATGTCCCCATTTGTGAATACCGATGCAAAGTATTCATTAAGGTCCTTGCTCACATCCTCCAGCATCATGATTAAATTCCCTCCTTTGTCCTTAAGTGAACTTCACTTTCCCTAGCTACCCTGTAGCTCCTTTTATATATGCATAAAACACCTTGGGATTTTCTTGAATTCTGTTCGCCAAGTAATTTCTTGACCCATTTTAGCCCTTCAGATTCCTTGTTTGAGTTCTTTCCTGCTATCTTTGTATTTTTCAAGAGCTCTGTCTGACTTTAGTTTCCTAAATCTTATATATGCCTCCTTTTTTCTTTTTGACTAAGCTCATAGCTTCTCTTGTCATCCAAGATTCCCGAATGTTTCCATCTTCATCCTTCATGTTCATAGGAATATGCTGGTCCTGAATTCTAAACAACTGGCCTTTAAAAGATTCTCACATGCCAGATGTGGATATAGCCTCAAACAGCTGCCTCCAGTTTATATTCTCCAGTTTCTGCCTAATATTGTGCTAGTCAGCCTTCCTCCAATTTAATACTTTCACTTGAGGGTTGTGCTTATCCTTTCCATAAGTAACTTTAAAATTTACAAAATTATGGTCACTGTTCCTGAAATACACTACCACTGAAACTTTGATCATCTGGCTGGACTCATTTCCCCCATAGTAAAGCCCCTTCCCTGGTTGGACTGTTTACATATTGTTTCAAAAAAAAAATCCTGGAGACACCTAATAAGTTCTCCGCACAATTTTAAGTTGTAGTATTTATCACATTCTAAGTGTTTGTATGAAATTGCTACCAAAAATTTAGAATTAAATGTTAAACAAAATAACCTTAGTGGAGAAGAAATGCAGTGCCATGGCCTTTAACATTATGTTAGGTGTTCTGCTATGCATCACCGGACTTGAACAATGTGTAAAAAGTTTTAATCTTCAGTTCTTCAAAAAATAAATTGTTGAGACTGTCACTGTTTTTCTTTATTTTTCTCATTTTTGGTTTGGAACTGTGAGCTGAAGTTGAGATTCAGATCTTGAGTTTTGGAAAGGAGGAGAGATCAAATAAATTTAAAAATCAAAAGAACATTGAAAAAATTGATGTTTTCTTATAGAAACTGGACTGGAAGGATAATTTGAAGGTTGATTATTGACCAAAAAACACTGCAAATGTTTCGACACCGAAGTGTCTTTGGCTCAGGACTGGCAGCTGGTTGGATGTTGAATGGGCCATTCACAAGTGGAATGGTGCTGGCCATCCCAAGTTGCCCTTTGTAAAGTGGTGAGCTGCCTTGAACCGCAGTCCATGTTCTGTAGATAGACCCATAATACTGTTTGAGAAGGAATTGCTTGGAGGGTGATTTCTGGGTGTGGTGTTTTGAGTTTTGAGTTTTATTCACTAGTTTTTCTTAACCTAGTTAAAGAATTGTTGAAGATTTTGAGGAAAGAACCCCAATTTGTAAGACATTAGTAAAAGTCTCCAATGCTCTGTGGAAATTGTTTGCATGAATCAGTGACTTCAGAACTCAGACAAAATACCATCCTGTGTGCCTGGAATACAAAACATTGTTCAAGGTTTCTGAAGGCATGGTACCCATTCGGTAGCTATTGACCTGGAAAATTACAATTCTTGATTTTTCTTTTAGTTTATTCCTTAACTGTCTGTCTGTCTGTCTTTGAGTGGGGCTGGTGTTTCAAGAAGATTGGGCTTAAATCATTGACATTAAGTACATTGCCTTATTGTTTATCTGTATTCTGCTAAAGTGATGTTTTCCTAATAATTTTTTAAATTAAGAATAAACTTGGTGTTTGAGATCTATTATTTGTAAAGTCTGGCTAGGAACAACTGAGCAATTCTGAATGTTTTAATTTTATTGTGTTGTGAATCCGGGGATAGGGAGCCTGATTTGCTTCGGCCTGCTGTCCCCATGTCCTAACATAATACCCAAAAGCAGCTGCTACAATAACAGATTAAAAAGTAACACAACCTGAATAATATAAATATGAATACAATGCTTTTTTGACCATGCATTACTCTAAGAAGAAAACTTCAACTTCTACAAATCTTATGCGTTGAGATTCACTGACAATACAAGATTACTCAGGAATGTTGCAGAAAAATCTAAGTAGGTACAAGCGAATTAATAAGCATTAATGAAACAGTGGGTACTACTGAGTTGATAAGCCCACAGAACAGGGTATTAGCAAATTATGAAGCTGAAAGCAGTGATCATCAATTATTTAATACAGTAGAAAGGCACTGACTTTTCGAATAGTCAACTGAACAGCAGTGAGTTGGATAGGGCTGTAGGCATTTGATAAAATCTCCAACCAGAAGAGACAAGCTGATGGCCCATCTCAACCACGTCCGGAGGTCCCCAGTATCCCAGATGACAGTCTTCAGTCAATTTGATTCTGTTCTCTTCACGTGATATCTGATGCCTTTGGCCATCACTTGATATGCTAGGTAGGGCTGTGAGCTCCGCCAACATTCTGGCAATAGTATAGAAGACTTGCGCTCCAGTGCAGCTACAACACTGGCATATGGAAAATTGCCCAAGTATGTCCAATACATGTAAACCAGGATAAATCCAAATTGGCCAATTACCATCTCAGAAGTCTACTATGGATTGTAAGTAAAGTTATGGAAGGAGTAATCAACAGTATCATCAAGCAGCACTTGCAAAGGAACACCTGCTCACTGACAATCATTTTGGGTTCTGCCAGGTCCACTCAGCTCCTGTCCTCAGTAGATCCTTGGTTCAAACATGGATAAGAGCTGAATCTCAGAGATGAGAGTGATGGTCTTTGACATCAAGGCAAGTATGGCAAAATTAGACTCCATGGGAATCCAGGGGAAAACTCTGATTAGAGTGATACCTAGCACAAAGGAAGATGGTTGTAGTTGTTGGAGCTCAGTCATCTTAGCTCCCAGGGCATCTCTGCAGGAATTCCTCAAGGTAGATATTTTCTAAACTCCCTGGTCAGAGATATTATGACGCACCTCTGGAGCAGGTGGGAATTGAATCCAGGCTGCCAGATTTAGAGTTAAAATTCATTGGGTACTGTCCTAAGCTCAACCGTTTTCCAGTCCCTCATCAATGACCTTTGCACTTCTTAAAGTTAGATGGAAGTATTTATTGATGGTTGCACGATGTTTAACAACATTCGTGACTTGTCAGAAAATGAAGCAGTCTATGTCCAATTGCAGCAAGACGTAAACAATGTCTACTTGAGCTAACAAGTGGCAAGTAACATACATCCCACACAAGTGCCAGACCAGGACTATTTGCAACAAGAGTGAATCTAACCAACCACCCCTTTGACATCAATGGCATACCATCACTGAATCCCACACTATCAATATCCTGGGGGTCACCATTGACCAGAAACTGAGCCAAACCAGCCATACCAGTACAATGGCTACAAGAGTGGGTCAGTGGCTAGGATTCCTGCAATAGGCAACTCGCTTCCTGATTTCCCCAAAGCCTGTGCACCACCTACAAGGTAGAGGTCCACCTGCCTGGATTTGTGCGGCTTCAATAACGACATCCAGGACAAAGCAACCTGTTTGATTGGCACAATATTCATTCCCTCTTCCACCATTGCTCAAAAGCAGCAGCGTGTACCATCTGGAAGATGCTCTGCAGAAATTCACCGAGGCTGTTTTAGACAATACCATCCAAACGTGACCATCTAGTAGAAGAACAAGGGTACCAGCTACATGGGAACACCACCACCTGCACCTTCCTTGTCAAGGCATACAGTCCTGATTTGGAAATATATTGCTGGGTGAGAATCCTTGAAACCCCCTCCCCAGCAGCGTTGTAGGTATACCTACACCAAACAGACTACAGCTGCGCCAGAAGGCAGCTCATCATCAGCACCTTAAGGGCATTTAGGGTTGAACAATAAATCCATCCGCTCCCCCCACACAGTCCCTATAAAACAGTTAATATCATGTTGGCTTTTTGTTTCTAGCATTGTTTTCATTAATATATCAGCCATCGTGAAGGGCAGATAGGAGGAAAATCTTTTGAGGAGAAGGAAGGCTGTGACTAAGTGTGGATAGGGATTTGGGTTGGGTATGGAGATTTGAAGTTAGATGTTCAACTGAAGTTCTGGGGTCATGATGTCAGTACATGAAGCAAAGCAGGACAAACAAGATATCGATAAGACAATGGCTAATATCTAGCAATATACTTTCTGAAGTTATAGTTAAATTGTAGTGTTTTGCTGCATAAATGCAATGCATTTGTTGCTGCACGTGGTATATTTAAATAATTTTTCAAGTCCAGGGATTTCATACTTAATTATCTTTGCTAGTTCTGAAATTAATCAAAAAAAAATTATGACCAGGCTAAAAGTTTTCTTTTAAAAATACAGCTTCATACGTAGTGTCTGTTGAAAATTATGACATGATGTGGAAGTAGAAAATTTGTTTTTGTGTTAAAGGGTATGAAGGGAACCACTTGTATTGGCGCATATGATCCTCACAACAAGCAAAACAAGGTAACAACTTATGCTTTCAATATCCTAGATTGAGCAGAATGTGGAAGCTTTGCTGTTTTTGTTTTACCCTTTGAAGTTGCTGTTCATTATATTCCAGCTGCTATATGTTTTTGACAAGGAAGTACCTGTGATTAGTTGCTCTGTCAACATGGAAAAAACATTGTTGGGTAAGTGGGACAAACCTCTGCTCTTGTAATGATACCTTTTTATTCTGATTTTATGTCATGCTCATTTCAGAATTATAATCAAACACATTAAGACTAAAGCTTACATTGTTTGAATTTAAGTTTCTTCACCATTCATAAATGAAATTGCCTATTCTAAAAGATTTTGATTCTCTCTCTCTTTGCTAGCTGTAAGTTTTCTACAGTTTACACGAAGAGATTTACCATTCGAAACATTAAGACCAGGTATTATTTTAAACATTTTGTTATTTGTAATTACCAAAATAAACATTGCAAAAACTCTGAAATAAACTGGTCAACTCAATTTATTTTTCAACTGATAACCATTGTACAGTAATAGTAGATCAAGGACTGGGTTTTCGTGGAGAGATGGGAATGTCAACCAGAAGACTTTGTAACCTGGCAGATCTGTCTCCTTTAAAAGGTCCCCTGACCACAATGTGCGCACTCCAGGATGTGGAGATGGGATGGAGTTGAGCCCAGTGTTACGGAGGCATGGGAGTGCAAAGCAGAGTTGGATGTAAGGCCATCCTCAGTTCTCTGGTACTTTGGCTCAACTTTATGCATTTAGCTCTTAGCCCTTGCTTCTCATACCCCGACTACACTCTGTTCCCTATACTTACAATGTTTTCTCCACAATCATTCATCACGTATGAGCAGATCTCCGGAGTCATACCTTTTGCAATGAAGAAGAAAAATAATTTAACGTCAGTCAACCTAATGCAGCTTCCACTCAAATACGCTTCACACTGAAAAATAAACTCGTTTATAAAACCCATTTAAAACTTAAATCCCCCCCAAGTAGTCCATCAGCTGTTAAAAACAAACAAAAATCTATTTTGCTTACCAGATCAGAAACACATCATGCTTTAAATTGTCAAACAAAATGTAAACTTAACTCCCTGTTGAGAAAAGTTCTGGAACTTTTGAAAGTCAACCGCCATTCTTAATAGACTCCACTATAATAAACCTTGGGGAAATTTTAAACAATGGAGTCTGTTGAAACTGTAAAAAGAATTGATTAATGATGTTTTCTAAGCTGCATCAAATGGCCTGTCTATCCAATGCAGTACAGCAGGAGGTGTCTTATTTTAAACTCAAATTGAAAGCTCCAGGCTCTCCTATTCCCAACCCCCAATATTAAAGGGCTGAGGATTTAACTAATTTCAAGCATGAAAATTAAATAGATCCTTCAGAAGCTTTTGCACCTTCTCCATAAAGTTATGGTTGCTACATTGCTGCTTGAGCCTGCTGCAATGCAAAAATTGGGTGTTATTATACAAAGCAGTCACATCAAGTACCGTTGCTGAGTTCTGGTTTATTGGTCCTCCTCCCTGCTGACAGAAATGGGATCTACCAAAATGGAGGCTGGCTTGGGTTCTGTCTGCCATTTCTAACCATCTCCGAAGTTGTCCAGATCTGGTGAGAATCGAGTGCAAGTTTGAAGGACATAATTTTGTTTGTGAATATTTCCTTTTAATCAGTTCTTTTGAATTGCAAGTAGGAGGCATGACTATTCCTGTGTAGGTGCAGTTTCAATCAATTTTGTGTCATTGTTTCCCAATTCATTTGAACCTTTTAAAGGTATTCCTATTGCTCAGATGATGTATAGTGAGAGAATGCTCCATCATTAATAGCCCAAAAATGGTGATTGGTTGGCCCAAGATATATTTGATTCTTGAAGGTATTGTGAACTCACTGCCATTCAAGACCATGTCATTGTAGATTGGTTAGAATTGATGGATGTGGTTTATTTCTGTCTCAGTATTTCATCTGTGATTTCACAAGGGGTTTATATTGTTCAAATAATTGGACGCCGTGCTGAATGACCATCTCAAATACAATTCTTTCATATATTGGTATATACAGATATCATTAAATGATAATGAAACCGTTTGTACTTCAAATATGTTGCTGATGAAATATTAAAGTATTTGAGCGGTAATTATGGAGTAAAATTATGGAAGTATGAGTATTAAAATTTTGTTAGAACTATCAGGATTTTCAACAAGCATGCGAAAGAAGTTTTAAACATCACTGGTGATTTAAAAATGGAGATTTCCTTTTCATTTGATGTACCCATGTTGGACAATTTTGCTTCAGTGAAAGAATGTCCCTTAGTATCGTCCATTCATGAAACATTGACTATCTTTAAAATATTAGACACTTACAGCAAAAAGGATAGGGTAAGAAGGCATAGAACATGAAGGCATAAGTGCAGAAATGTCATTGTGTGCACCGTATATGGAAGAATAGTGACAGATTATCATAGTTAACTATGGTCCATTTTGTAAGATGATTTCAGCAGGGGATATAGGAAAGGTTGTTTTGGGATTTGCAAGCTCTCGAGATGGAGGAGGAAATGGGATTCTTAACGTAGAGCTGATAGTTTAAATTTGGGGTGTTCAGTGGCCTGAATTGGTGTCAAGGTGGATCACAGTATTCAAACCATTTCATAGCTAGTAAAGGAGTGCAATGTAGAAACACATCTGTTTCTGTCTATGTGAACAATGGGTTGTGACAGAAGAACCAGTGTTAGAGAAATACTTATCTGCATGGTGAATGCCAGGAGATGGGGAGGTTGCTCATTTTACGGCTTGAATTTTCTGCAGACATTACCAGTAGACAATTGAATAGGATTAACAGTATCTTCATAAACTGGTTTCTTGCTCAGGTTGTCAGGTTTTCGGGTTGTCTGAAAATATATGAAGCAGATTGGTGGCTACTTTTTTCTTGCCCAGTTGTCCAGGCTAGCAACTATTAGAAAGTTGTTAGCTCCATTTGCAGAGTTATGAAGAGTATAGTGAGTATTCTGAGCTTAGACTGCTCATTGATATGCAGTGGTTCATTTGATACGTGATACAAAAATGCAATGAATTAGGCTGTATACTTTTTGCAATTTGCATTAACTATTCTTCTTTGTACCGGTAAACTTTATTTAATATTTTGTTCAAGACTCGTGGTTTTATAAATAATATTTAATATCGAACTCTGAAGTGGGCCCTTTGACAAGAATTATGCATGTATTTATGTATACTTTCAGTAGAAACTCCACACTCGAGGGCAAACTTCAAACTTCACATAGGTGTCACAAGTAAGGTCCCTCTGATTATAATGAGATTTTTAAAAAAGTTTCCATGGCCATATTGGGTAAACTGCAACTCTGCATAGAAAGGAGTTTTGAGATTTAGTGAATCTATTGTTTCTAGTCTTATTTGCTGTCATGAAACTCTCCATAAATAGGGATAAAAGTTAGAATCAAATGGTAGTCTTCGTTTCAAAATTCTGATTAGTGGAGAATGAAAAATTGGAAGATTGGGAAAGTTGCTCAAGTTGTTGCTGTTCTTGAGCAGTGAGGCATGGAAGTTTCTAGTTCAGATATGGTGTATGATGTTGGAACATCCAAGAAAATGTTTTGTGCAATGCTTAATTGAAAGAATGTCCTAAGTATTCTTTTTCATGTTGATGCATTTGATTTTTTAGGTGAATTATACTGTAATGAATCAATGTTAGATAAATGCCTTTGTAGAAAACGAGTTACATATTTTAAATTGTAGGACACATTGCAATGAAATTAGCATTTTCTCACTTTTTTTTTCCTTTGAATTTTGTTGCAGTATCCAGGTGTTTAACCTTGTTGCTTGAAATTCATCCAGTAAATAGTACAAAAGTCTTAAAAGCCGTTGACTCCCATGTGAGAGTTCAGGTATTTATCACTGCTCCAGTAATTTTATTTTTATTAAGTTTTTAAAAAAAGAATATTATGACTGCCTGTCAAATACTTGGAAGTTTACCTGTCTTGTGGTTTTCTTTTAAATATTCCTTGCTGTTATGTGTTTGGGTCACGAAAAGTGGATCTGCATCTACAAATCTCAGGAATACTTTGAATCCACTAATTTGGCCAAAAGTGAATCACAGAACTAAAAACTGTTGGAAGAGCCATAATGGGTCTTGGAGAATTAGTTACTGAACAGCATTGGCAGTGACTGATGAGCAAGTGACTTTTCCTTGAAGTTATTCATGGCTTAGAACAAGGGGGACAAAGCAGTTTTACTTGAAAATTTAAGTGTTAAATAGAACATAACAAATGGTAAAGTATTTACATTGAAAAGTAGTAATAAAATTTACAATAGAAAGAACTTTATGATGAAATCTGTCAGCTTCTTTGACTTGGTTGGAATAATAGTAATTCAAGTGATAAACAACTTTTGACACCTTTTACATTTGAGTAATAAGAAATGTATAAACTTGTAGGTTTACTTTCTTCAATGAAACGTAATAACAGGTTTTCAATACTTTTTCTAGTTTCTGATTTGTTAGTGAGAAAGAGCATCTGTTGGAGTGGTGTGAAGTGTAGCAATTGTTAATGCTGTTATTAATTCTAGTTTCAGACTCTGAAATCAAGGTTTGAAGAAAGTTCTAGGACCAGTCAGGAATAGAATTATCCCTTCATGGGCCGGGATAAAACAGAGTATGTTGTTAGCGAAAGATTGCCATTTCACAGCCTGTTGTGGAATCAACATTCGTATGACAGCTATCATAAATTGTAGCTTTGTGCCTTGAACATTTTAACATTGGTATCTAGTAAAGATAACTTGAAAAGTCAGTTGATTGGTATGTGGTGCATGTATTGGCAGAGATCACATGAGGGATGGCTGAAGACAAAGCAGCACGATCTAGTTATGTCGCATTAGACATTAGGGCTTGGAGTATATTTCAGAACAAGCCTGCTGTACTTTCAGTCTGCCAGAATGACAGTAAATGAACCTTATCAGATGGAAAAAGACAACTGCCAAAGAAATTATGGCAAAATACATTTCAGGAGGATCTTCTAGTGTGGGTAACCACCCTATAGTGCTGCACAGGACTAGAAAAACTAAGTCTACATAATCTGGCCCTTACAGCACTTAATTGGTTAAATGCTAAGATTGTTCCAGGGACAAAATTTTCAGTGGCTTGGAAATTAGGTCACAATTTATGTTGAGGGCAGTTGCAAAGTAAACTAACCTATCATTGCATATCACTTTCTGCAGACTGGTTTTAAAAAAAAACAGCAAAGACTTGCCCAGGCCTCCAGTAAAAAGTAACATGCATGACATTGCAAAATTCAAACTTGGAACCAAGGCAAATGTCTGCAAACCATACATATGTTTAATCACTTTTACTGGAAAGGTTTAATTACAAAAGTGACATGAGTTATTGGTGCAAATTATCTGACTTGGTTTGTTTGTAGAAAACCTGTTTCACGTGAAATTGCTGAAAAGAGATTAGGATTTCTTTTAAGCATGTCTTTACTTCATATAAATATATAATCCCCATCTGACTTTAGGGAAGTGTTTGAATTCTTTTAGTTTCCAGAGAGAGACTACAGGCTGTGTGATCCCAGTTCCCTAAAGCTAGCAGTGCCATTTTTAGTATCTTTTGTTGTATGGGTAGGGGTTGCTTGCAATCTCCAGTAGGCAGGCCTAACAGGCACAGGCCTCTCTTACATTCTGTGGCCTGTCTTCCTGGAACGGTTGCTTGTAGGAACATAATCAAAATATGTTTCATAAATATGACAAATATACAGCTGGAAAAAATTTGCAGGTCTGGCAGCATCTGTAAAGAGAGAAAGTGAGTAAATGTTTTGAATCCATTTTGACTTTTTCAGAAGAGTCTTCAGTTCACATGTTTTATAAATGTGCATTTCTGGACACGGTGCTTCAATTGTTACTTTGCTTTGAGCAAACTGTGCAAAAGCCAGCTGAATGTGATAGATATGCTTCAATTTCTCATTGTTTTTCACTTTTTTGTTCCTTATCAGTTTTATTTGTTCTTTAGCTGGATGGGAAACATGGCACAGAAGATAGAGATGTATTTCTGTGCATTTGTTCGGAAGTGTCATGCAGTCACAGGAAAATTGGAATGTTTTTGAACGTGACCAGATCTTGTTTAATTTGTGGTTGAATACATAATGTTGAGTTAGATGAAGTTTTAACTACTAGTTATTGGAAGGAAGGGCTATTGGGGGTTTATTAGAGAATTAGCTTGACTTATGCCAAGCTCAGAATCCACTTCGTGGTTAGTTTATCTGTCAGCTGCTTTGGTCAATGTTGGACCTTTTGTTTTCTCTCTTTAATTGATGGTTTTCGTGGCAAGATGGTTCTGTCCTTTTTACTTAAGATCTTTATGGGTTTGTAATCTCCCTTAAAGTAAAGGAAAAGGCAATAATAGGACTTGTGCACATTACTGGAGCTAGTTTTGAGGAGGTGAAATATATATGAACTGTAAAATGAGAAACTATAACCTGTTTCGCTTGGGAACCCTGCAGCCCAATGGTATCAATGTGGACTTCACAAGCTTCAAAATCTCCCCTCCCCCTACCGCATCCCAAAACCAGCCCAGCTTGTCCCCGCCTCCCTAACCTGTCCTTCCTCCCACCTATCCCCTCCTCCCATCTCAAGCCCACCACCATCTCCTACCGACTAGCCTCATCCCGCCCCCTCGTCCTGTCCGTCCTCCCTGGACTGACCTACCCCCTCCCTAACTCCCCATCTGCACTCACATTTACTGGCTCCATCCCCGCCTCTTTGACCTGTCTGTCTCCTCTCCACCTGTCTTCTCCTCTATCCATCTTCTATCTGCCTTCCCCTCTCTCCCTATTTATTTCAGAACCCCCTTCCCCTCCCCCATTTCTGAAGAAGGGTCAAGGCCTGAAACGTCAGTTTTCCTGCTCCTCTGCTGCTTGGCCTGCTGTGTTCATCCAGCTCTACACCTTGTTATAACAAAATAACCTGATTCTGGTTGGATTCACAATATATTCTAGGAAACTGTCCCAAATACACTCTCTATGAATTCCTCCTCATGGTTACCTCTGCCAATTTGACTGTCCCAATGGGATCTTCAAAGGTTTAATTTTACTGTGTTATGAATACAGAGGTAAAAAGGTTGATTGTGGTTTCGTTGTCGTTCTCTGTGTTGTAACATACTCATTTTTCAAAAGCTGCTGTAAATGCTGCCATATCCTTTTGCTTTGAGTGTACGTTTCCCCTCTCTCAAACCTTACTTCCCTCTCTAATTAGTTTAAAGCACTCTCTCTCTACAGGCCTAGTTAATCAATTGTTCAAGTGAAGCCTGCCAAACCAGAAGAGATCCTTTCTACCCCAGTATAAGGGGCTTTTGTGGTGTAGTGGTAATGTCCCTACCTGAGGCAGGAGGCCTGGCTTTGTCCCATCTGTTCCAAAGATGTATGATAACATCCCTGAACAGTTTGATTAGAAAATATCTATCCCAGTATTGGTGCTGGTGCCCAATGAATGTTGTTTGTTTTATTGGGGTCTCCAGGTTGGGATTGCTGGGCGAGTAATTTGTGTCCTGTTTCAGCACCTGGTTCTCATTATAGCTACATCAGTTATGATTATACTTTTTTTTCATATCTGCCAACTCTTTCAGTACGATGTTGGCATTAACCACAGAAGATGCATTGTTCCTCCCAACAGGATCTGACAAGCCAAGATGGTATTGCTTCCATTCAGAGGACAGATTGCTATCTGGGTCACGGAAGCTGGGCAAGTTAAACAGTTGGGAGAATTCAGCACAAACATTGCAAAACAAGATTTTTTTTTTTAGATAGAATCAATCATTTGTGTAAAAGTTGAAAGACAAGGTAGCTTTATTCTGTGCTACTGAATTAAACCTGATTGGTTTATTACCTGTTTTATTGAAGGCTTGATTTTGTTGTTTAGTTTTGCATTATGATAGCTTGTCATCAGGGGTTCATCTTGATTTTGGCGTACTATATTTGTTTTAGCATTCTTCTATTTCTATCTGAATATGATTTGAGTAAAAAAGAACATTCCTTTGACTCTGGTATGGTTTCTACGTGCAAAACATCATTATAGCCACCTTTACCCCTCTTCTCCATGCTACCTGTTGAGATGAAGCCATTAACATTTAAAATGTGATCACACCTCGTGTTACCAACACATGAAGTCAGGGTCTGTTGTGAGATCTGCTTGGAAGTAAGTGTGGCAAGTTGTGGGAGATAAAAATGAGTAGAGACAACTCAGTCCAAAATTCTATTGCCTTTTGTATAAAAGTAGTGTAATTCCAATATAGGGGTCTGGAATTTTTAAAAATCGTTCTGAGTGTGCCACTGGCAGATCAGGATTTGTTGTCCATTCTGAATTGCCCTCAAAGATATCTTGAAACAGCTGGTATTCTGCTATTGGTACAACGTTGGTGAGGTCAGAGAGGAAGTTCCAGAATTTTGATTCAGTGAAGGAATGGCAGTAATTTTTTTCTTGGTGTAAGTTGGATGTACAAGGGTCATATGTTCTACATGGTGTGTCCTACTCGGCTGGTGTGTGGGTGAAGGGTTGGCATGCTTTCTGCTTTTGTGTGCTAGTTTGTTTCTCAACGCCAACTTACATTGCTGTCTGACAGCAATGCGACAGGAGAGGCAAATATGTTGGTCTCTGGCTGTTAGTGCCTATCTCTCCGTTGGCAAGTACTCAGCTGTGCCTCCTTGTGGTAATACCCCAGGACAGATTTAACAGAATGTGGAATCCAGATATGTCATGTGCAAATTCCCAAGTAGAGACACTGGTGCTCATTAAGTACATTCTCTGCTCTGGACGAATAGTTCCACTGCCTTGTTGACATCTTGAGATTAGGCTGAGGGAAGAAACCCTGACAGATTTTGGAGTGGAGCCCAGAGACACACTT